ACTTAAGCCGCTCGAGCACAAAAATACCCACTCGAGCGCCAACGCACAAAACAAGACACCACCCGCTCAAGCGCAAAAAGGAACCCGCTCGAGCGTAGATTATACTCTTCTAGTACTTTTACAGACATCGAACACTCACTCGAGCGCAAGGATACCCGCTCGAGCGCGGCCCGCTCGAGCGTAAGGAACTTCGCTCGAGCGTGAAAAACAAACCTGCAATACTTTTGCAGACGCACAAGATGCTGAAAATGTGCAAACTCCGCTCGAGCGAGAAGGGATCCGCTTGAGCGGACCGCCAAAAATCTGGGCAACAAGAAATGGGACTAAAGCTCAACCAACCTGTTCGAAACACGCCCAAGACATTTCTAAACTCCAATCCAAAGCATTAAAGGACGGAATTGAAATACAAACGACAACAACTATCAACGGAACTGAGTCCGGAATACAGTAAATAAGGAAGGAAAAATCGGGATCGCTATATTTAATAACATGTCAAGAGCCTCATTCATTTGTGTAGGAGGCCTTTGATATGTTATGGAAAAATGAGTTACAAATAGTATTCTACCATATGTGACCATGAATGGCAATTTTGCCGAGCCATGGATATTAGAAGTTGCTTGTAAAATAGTTATTAGACTGTCTATCCAATATGCTATCAAAGGAAGTTTTTGAATAGTTTCCAATCGCTCCCTCCTGCGATCTTCATCCAAATAATCATCTTCAAATTCAAAATCTCCAGTTTCTTTGAGATACCAAATTTGGTAGGGTTGGAAAAAATGTTCTCATTCCTACCAACCAATTGTGCTAGAGATCCAAAAATTAATATTTACTCCATCGGAAGCCTTTTACTACCCATGAAAGCATTGCTTTTATGATCATTGGATATTCTATCAACTGGATTGGATCTAAAATTTGGAAAATAACTTGATTAATTATTCCCTTATCTATATCTTCAAAATACCACATGTCATGATTTGCCATGATGGTTATTTTAGGAATTCTATATTTAAAATTTAATTTATCATAAGATCATTATAAGATTTGTCTAATCTTATCACGATGATCCTCAACTCGATTTTTGATTAACAGAAAAATTTCTCTTGGAAGCAAAGTTCTTGCTTTTTCAAAAGACATTCTTTTTATTTGTTAAAAAATTGGGTCAGAAAACTCATTTGATATGAGGTATGATAGCTGAAGAAAATTATTTATCTTTTCAAAATTAAAATCTTCATTCCAATTCATTTGTTTAAGGATATTGAAACAAAGATTTTACAAATCTTTTAATTTAACTGTTTGCTTAGCTAATTTGTTGGCCAGAACTCCCATGTGTTTTCGAAATTTCACTTTATTGTCTACAATGTGAGATTTCCAAATTGCATTAAGTTCTATATAAATTTCTCTGGATATACCAGGTTTGAAAAAATCTTTTATTTCAAATTCATCTGGTTTAGATGTTTGAATATGGGTTGGAACTAGGTTAGTTCTTATTTGACAAAAAATATTTTGATATGCAGACATAGCTGGTGCACTGTAAAAAGCTTTTTTAGCTTTAGTCATGCTATCATAGGATTTAAAACTTGTTCCTGAAAATCTGCAAACATGCTTATTGCACTCATTTCATTCTGTGTAAACTTCAGGTTGTCTTTCTGCAAACACAACATAAACTTTTTATTCTCTGGGGTTGCTTTTTTAGCAATTGTCACCCAATCTTCTTAAATGGCTTGTTTACCCTTGTCCATTTTTTCCTTTTGGTCTAGAGGTCTTTTGCAAAAATTAAAATTACTTGTTTAGTAATTTAATTTTCTAAAACAATTTCTACTAAGAAAATCTGTAAGAAAATTGTTAGTACCTTTAAGTTGTTCTACCTCAAAAGTATATTCACAAATTTTATTATATTAGGCTAATCTTCTTCATTATTCAACAAGTTTTTTGTTGATCAAGAAATCTCTTACTGCTTTATTATCAGTGCGTACAATAAAATTTTCAAGGGCTAAATAAATACGGAAACTTTTTATTGACAATTTTATTACAAGTAATTCTTTTTCAAAAATAATATATTTCTGTGCATTTGGTTTAAATGTTCCAGAATTATATCCACAAATTAGTTCTTCTTTTTGTAATTTTATGGGTATTCGATTTTTTCTTTGTCTAATTCTATTTTCTGATAAAGGTATCTCTTTATCATACCATAAGTTACTTGGTATTACTTTAAGAACACATCCCAAGCATGCTTCTGAGGCATCTGTTTTTAAAATTAATTTATCACCCGTTTTAAGAAGATAAACATCTGGTAAAGTTTTAACATTTTCTTTAACTTGTTTAATTAAAGAAACATCTTATGCTGTCCATTCAAAAATAACATTTTTCCTTAATTTGGTTAACCAAGGAATTTCTATTTTTGAAAGATTTTTTATAAAATTTCGTCCATAATTTAGAATACCTAATAAACTCTGTAATTGTGTTATATTTTCAACGGTATTAGGAAAATCTCGTACTTTGGACAAAATATGTTCTTGTAATTTTAAACCTTTTTGGTCTAAAATTATTCCTAAAAATTAAATTAATTCTCTTTCTAGTTCAATCTTTACTGATGATAACATAATTCCATGTGTTTTGGAATTTTTTACAAAGTAATTTTAAATGTTGCTTATGCTCCTCCCGGGTTTTAGAGAAGATAAGTATATCATCAATATAAACTACACAACAATCTTTAAGATCTTTAAAATTTGTATCCATCCACCGTTAAAATACCTGTGCTATATCTAACCCCAAAAGCATAACATTCCAGTGGTAATGTCCTCTAGGTGTACTAAAAGCTGTCAAATTTGTTTGATTCTTCAGTCAATTGAATTTGCCAAAATCCACTTTTACAATCGAATTTGTTAAAGATTTTTGATCCTTTGGTTAAGTTAATCAAAACATCTTTTCTTAAAATAAAATATCCATTAAATTCTAAATTTTTATTTAGTCGTTTTTAGTTGACTACCATTCGGGCAATTCCTCTATTAATTTCAACATTGTTTCTTACCATAAAAGTTGGACTAGAGTGAGGGTTTCTAGTTTCTTCAATTAACTTTTTGTCTAAAAGTTCTTAAAGTTGAATATCAAATTCATCTATATCTTGTCTAGTACAGATCATTGGTCTTACTCTGATGATAACATTAGGGTCTTTTATTTTCAAATTACAATAACGTAGACTACGTTGCCATAATTTTAATTGATTTTCACTAAAATTTTCTTTCAGAATTTTATAAATCCAATATAATTTATCGATAATTTTGATGATAGGAGTTAAATCAAAAATTGTTTAAAACTTCAAAAATATCACTCTTAAATTTACTCCAGTAATGAGAACCATTACATGTTACTGATTTGTTTAAAAATCAATCAAAAAAGGATAAACTTAGAACTAATATTTTAAAGGTGTAAATTTACTAATCAAGCATTAGTGTCGAAGATGATCCAAATTTGTGTAGGATTTCATTCGAGCACTCCTATGCGTGTGGAAGTTTGAGGGGTGAACTCCGTCCAGATATGTGGTGGTGGCTCAAAGGTTGTTTTGATTAAGAGGAGGTCGGCGTTGGGTCGACAATATAGGGGCGGTGCATTAGTTCCAATAGTGGGTGTGTTTTCGATGTTTGGGTTGAAAAAGAAGCCGTTTCGACCATAGGAGTGGAGGTGACAGTTGGTTTTGTTCAGCTGTGGCAGTGGGTCTTGCTTCCATCGGTGTGTCTGGCTTTGGCCAAGGTAGCTTCAGCCATGGTTGTTTTCGAACTGAGTTATTACAAGCACAGCTACCAGCAGGTTGGTGTTGGTCCGGCATACACAGAGGTTGCTCAGAATTCTTACCATGGAGCGTGGAGAGTGTGGGGGAGAAGAAAGGTGATGAGGTAGACCGTAGCAATGAGATGTGGCAGGGTTCTCGACCGTAGCAGTGAGATGTGGCAGGTATGGGAAATTGTAACGATGGTGTGGTTGAGCATGCTGCTAAAGTGGCAGAGGTGGGATTGGGAATGGAGCTGTCTACGGAGACAGAAGTGTGAATGGAGCTGTCTTAATTTTCAAGTGAAAGCTTTCTTTTTTGGAGCTGTCGGCTATGGAACTGTCAGGCGTGGATCTTGGAATTGGTGGTGTGGGCTGTTGAAAAGACTTAGTTTGGGTGGTGTGGCATTGGGAGTGCAGCAGCATAGGTGAATAAAATTTTTGGATTGCATAGTAGTGTGGTTTGTTAAAAGAGGAGTGCAGTTGCCTGGGTGTTGAACAGAAAATTTTAATTTGTTGAAAAGAAGAATGCATGAGCAGCTTGGGTGTTTTGATTTTGGTTTTTGGTTTTGGGTTGTGTGGGCTGATTTTGTGGGAATTCATGTATTTTATTTTCTAGTTAAATCCTTCTTATCTCTTTTTTGTTTAAAAAAAAAAAAATCGTGAGGCCAAGGAGTTGGTTGTATGGATGCGAGTAACAGTAGTAGGAGTATTTTGTACTTTCCGAATCTCTCTCGATGCATGTCATCTTCATGTACCTTTAATTTCATGTTTTTAATAAAATTTTTCTTTGTTGATCAAAAAAAAAAAAAAATGTAAATTTAGTCTAAAAAATTATACAAAAATCCACTTTGGTGGGGGCAAAAGAAATACAATGTTACACTTGAAGGGGGCTCAATGTTCTCAAAATTCAACTTGGCTCAACCATACAAAGTCTTTGCCCATCAATCCCATTCCAACTTCCAAGCAAGGTTCAAGGAAACGGTCGCCAAAACATAAAATTAATGTTGGTATTATAGCATTCTCTGGGTTCCACATGTGCCCTCACAAGTTCTCATTATTATTCAATTCAACCACATATTCAACCTTTTCTATGCACTAGTCATTATTATGTCCATTACAATTATTGTTACATATTAACACCCACTTTTCTAATGTTAATTCTTTCACCTTTGTTTTGTATTTTACTTCAGCAGATGTGAGACTTTCGACTTATATGCATCAATCTACCAAACCCAGAAAACCCAGAAAAATAACTGCTCAAATCTATTCACAAATTTGCAAATTTCTTGGGCCATTGTGCCACACTTATAAATCTGAAGAAACTGCTATGCTATGCACAAAGGAGAAAAACTGTGTACCAGAGGTGAAAAAACCAAAGCATAAAAAGTTCATCTGTAAAAACTTCCTGATGACGGAGAAAGAAAAACTGTAAAAACTATGTAACAAAGGTGAAAATTTCATCAATTAAATCACCCTCCATTTTAAGTGCTTCCAGTGATTTCCCCACCCAGTTTCATTCTCTTTGCACTTGGACCCTCCAAAACACTGCCAGGCTGCAACTTTTTAACCCTATCATGGCGGAAAAGGCAGTTAGACCCATATCGGCATCCCCTCGGGCTATTAAAGAAGATGCAATCTTTCTGAAACTTTGGTGTCAATTCATTTGGTTTTAGATTTGGAACCAATTTCAGGTCCTGAACATGAGATTTTCCAGATTGTGAAAGATTATATTCCTCAGTTTCATCGTTTTTTCCATGTTGCCTGATAAGGTTCTTAATGTAATTGATGTCCTTTACCGGAGGGCCCAAAAATGTAGATGTTGGAACAGTATCTGGTGAGAGTGCTTGCATTTGTAAACTGCGCTGCACCATATTTACCAATGGGTGCAAGTTCAGCCCTGTTGTGTCCACTGGCGGTGCCTTAAGTCGCAAATCTGGTTGAATCATATTCTGTAATGCTATCAAGTTTGGCCCTGTAACATCTGGCAAAACCATATCCAGTTTCGGACTCGAAATTGGAACCTTCAGAGTCGATGGAATAGACCTAGAAATGGGTTCATTTTCTGTTCCATATTCATTAATCATCATCTTAATCTTTGCCAAATGTGGTTTCGAGCTGGGCAAGGAAGCTAGCGGTGTTGCTAGCTTCCCTACAGCAAAAGGTACACTTCCTGCTTCAGTGGGCACTTGGTTTTCATTGATCAATTTTTTAACCACTGGACCAGGTCTCGGACTGCAAAAAGCAACCCGGGATGTCGCTGGCTTATGTCCAGAAACAGGTGCAGCTCGTGTTTCAGTGTGTGCTCTGTGTTTATGGATCAGTTTTTCAATCACTGGCTCAGATTTTGGGCCAGGTAGTGCCACTGAGGGTGTCAGTGTCACCAGCTTTGACCCAGAAATTGGGTCCTGTTCATTATTCAATTGTTTAATCACTGGATTGGGTTTTGGGCCAGGTATAGCAGCCAAGGGTGGAACTAGAGTTGGGCCTGGTATGGCAGCCGAGGGTGGAACTAGATTTGGACCAGGTATAGCAACCGAGGGTGAAACTAGATTTGGGCCAGGTATGGATGTACTTGCTGTCTTCATTACTGCCTCATTTTCATTAATCACTTTCTCAACCAGACCTGGCTTTGTGATGGGCAAAGGCACTGATGTTGTCAAAGACTTTGATTCAGACACAGGTTCAGTTCTAGTACCGGCAGTAGATCCTTGCTCACGGATCAATTTCTCGACCATTTTTGGGTCGCTGAGGAATTTAATGAGCAAATCAGGGTCAATCAAGCTTGCATGTTCTTTGCTCTTCGTGATTGCAGTTACTGCAGCCACAGCAGCAACAACTGCATCAGCTTGAAAACCAGGTAGAATCTCAAGTGCTGGTTTTTCATTGGCAGAAGGCTTTAGAGAAGCAGCAGGGTCAGATTCGGGATTTCCAGATAACACACCTCGGGGCAGGGCTAGTGGCTGCGAGTTGAAAGACATGTTTTGTGGTACTACCGTCTCAGATGGCAGATCTACTGCCACATCTTCAATGGGAGTGATGGGGATGACAGGGATGTGGCTATCATCAAGATGATCTTGCACATCCAACGGCCGGAAGAAGCTACATGGAAGATTGATACCAAAAAAAGAAAAGAAAAGAAAATAACGGTTCAGTATAAAGCAAGATGAGGAACCAAAAAGAGACTCGAGCAAGAGATTTACCTGCGATGGATGTCAGAAACACGAGTATAAGCTGATCTGAATACTTTCCTTTCCCTATTCTTTTGAGTTTCTGCCTCTTTGCTTTCCTCACCAGCAGCCACATGCCAATCAGGATTCAAAACAACCTGGTTAATTAAGAGAGCAGAAAACCATTTAATACAGGCATTGTGAAAACAACCTGGTTAATCAACACAAATTCTATGAGCAGAAATAAAATCGAACTGTCTAAAAGTAATAATATTTTTTGTAACATCAAGATCCAATACAGGCATTGTGAAAGTGTTTGATGATTGCTCACTTCAGGAGGGCATTTCCATTCAATCTGAGGTATGTGGGTGAGTTTCTTCTTTAGTGGGTCCATAGAATGTCTGCCTTCAAACCTGGAGGAATGGTTGTCAGAGTACACACTGTTAGTCTGCAGATGATCTTGAGTGTGCAGACCAACTTTCGAAGGGCAATCCTCGGATAAAAACAACTTTACCTGTTGAATAGCCACGATTTATCTTAGTTAAACTAGTCACCATTCATGGAATTATGGATTCAAGTACAATGACCCCAATGAAACATAATTTCTGAGCCACGTCAAAAAACTGAAAAAGGAAAAGAACCTCGCAAACTAATGTATGGTACTGAGACCATAAATTACAAACCAAAAAGGCAAGAAACAGATTCCAAAGCAAATTAAAACTGATGAAACAATCCACAAATATTTCCAGCCACAAACTGATAAATGCTATACTATTATCATTTTTTACTCCTCCAACACCTCCCTTCTTCTCAAAACATGGAAATAAGAGAAGGAAAATAATTCCCAGCTAGCTACAAAGATAATATTTAAAGATAATAAGAATTCCCTCGAAGGCTGAAAAAAGTTTGCAGCACCTTTGGCTACATAAGAATCTAAACAGTTCTTAAATCAAGCAAAGATGTAACATCTTTCTTTCTAAACAGATTGCAGGAACTTGAGACAAGCATATATCTATATGCGTAATAGTCTACAAGAGAAACCATAGAAGCACTTCCATTTCTTTCACAAGATAATTATAGAAAAACCTTCTGTTACAAACAAAATTAATCAAATAATAAGAATAGGAAGGCTCAGAATACATACAAGCAGAAGACAAAATTTACAGCCAAGCCATGACAAAAATCATTTTTAAGTTCAGAAGGGGAATTAACCTCAGTTTAACTTGGAAAGATCATTGAGCATAGAAACAATATGTTATCTAATGCTATCCTCCCATAAATGCTTTCCTCAAGCATTTTTAAGCAATTTCTGTTCTTTTATGGTCACTAGCTCTGAAAATATGACAGAAGGTACAAACTGTTCTATTCATAGAAAATCCATCCTAAAAGAAGACAGTAAAATTTAGATGCATGAATGCATAAGGACAAAATGACCAATATACAAGATCAGCAGCAATTTTACACGGAAAAAAAAGCAATGATATTCTCTGTTACTGTCATTATTGTGTTCCTCTGATCCTTGAAGAAAATAAGAGATAACAAACAGCAATGTCAACAGCTCATGGCAATTAAACTACTTTAAAATATGACAGATATGTAATGTATCTTTAAAAATGGTACAAATTTATTGATATTTATATTTCTGATTAACATCTTGCTTGTTTTTCCTTTTTCCAAAAAAAAAAAAAAGAAGATAAAGATTTATTATTTTCCCTATCTTTCTTTTGACAACAGAAAAAGGTTTGAGTATCCAAACTTGTCATCCACTTTCATAGGACTTGTCTATGTCTACAACACTATGATACCCATGATATTAATAGAAGGTAAAATTCATCAACGCATATTTTTTTATGAAAAATTCATGGACATAGCTGACTAGCTACTTAATATAAAAGTTAACAAAGTATTGGTTCTTGCCGGTTAGTTATAGAATTTTCCTCCAGTAAATTCCCTTCCAACAAGACATTAGTGAACTGAAAATTTAATGAAAATGCCCCAATTCCCAAATTGCACAAATACTACCACAAGTTCACTCAAAATTAGGCATCCTAGACTTAAAATGATATATTGAAACTTGATGAATCTCAAGATAAAATCTAAATCCCAGTTCATCAACAAAGATCTCAACGTATCAAACACATCACCCCTGCAAAATTTATAATAGATCTATTCACAGAAACTTTTTGAAGCCAAACCAAAATTTTGTGCAACTAGATTCAATAATCCTGATTGAGATATCAGACGTATCAGCAACATTTGACATATTAAGCTAAAAAAAAGCATTCTTCAGTATTTTCCATTAATTTCTTCACATTTACCAATCATAGTCCAGTTAAATCATTTACACATTTTCCTATTTTTACCACTCAGAAATCATCTTCATTGATCTCCATTATGTATACTCAAATAACATCAAAGAAAACTTCCACATTTAGTATATCTGTAGACAAGAAAATCGCAGATAGCGGATACTTACCTTGAAACACAAATAACATTTTTTTTATTACCTTTTTCAATTTAGTTTGCTACTAAATCCAGGCCATAAGAAGCTGAAGAGAACAAATAAATTTAAAAAGAGGAAGAGGTGGAAATTAATCAACCTCAATGCAGCAACATTTATATCTATAGACAAGAAAATCACAGATGACAGATACTTTGAAACACAAATAACATTTTTTATTACCGTTTTCAATATAGTTTGCTACTAAATCCAAGCCATAAGAAGCTCAAGAGAAAAATAAAATTTAAAAAGAGAAAGAGGTGGAATTAATCTACTTCAATGCAACACCTACTTGGGGACTTGCATAATTATGCTAAAGGATCTCTATGTATGAGATTTAGGTTTGTATAGGTTTTATCCATTACTATTGTAAGTTTCAAAATAAAGAATCCAAGTCAAATTAGAGTCTATATTATTTACAAGTTTAAAAAGAAACTTGCAATCCATTATAGAAGAAATTTAGAGAAGTTTTAGTAGCTTTAGGCGCTTTTTGGGACAATGTGATGTAATTTTACCTGAGTACTTAGTAGCAAATACATAAGATAAGGAACTATTGGAATAATACCTAAGCTAACCTTTTTCTTCTTCTCTAATTTTTCACTAGTATCTAATTCAATCACGAGCTATTACTAATTCCATTTACTCTTGAACCTTAAAGCCTTCTTCCTGATATTAAATGCCTTTTCTCTAATAATTCAACCCTAAAAAGTATGTCACTTGACTCAACTAAACAATACTCATAAAGAACATAGTTGCTTCATCCATACTATTTATAATCTACAAGCCACATCCTCCTAGTGTTTCCAAAAACTGGCCACCACGATTATGTAACAGTATCAGTGGCTCCCGGGCATTTCAGCCACCATAGTGGTGGCCATAGTTAAGTAACACCCATTACAACACCATTATGTAACTACGGTAGTCAGTGCCTGCTATGTTTAAAACTCAAATTTTTTTCTCGTTTCACCATGTCAATTTCTATTTTCACCATTCCCGTATAAAACTCAATTTAAAACTCAAGATTGTGGATACTAACCCACTCACCTAAAAAGTTAGCATACACTTTCCTAATCGACAAGATGGAACTTGAGTTTTCTAATAAGGCCTTGTTGGATAAGTGGTTGTGGAGATTTTCTTGAGAAAGGGGAATTTGTGGATAAGGGAGCTTGATATGCTCCAAAGTATAGGCATAAACATAAAGTGTAATTTTGTCATGACCCTTGGTATGGATAGAAGCCTTCAAGGGAGATCTTTCCAGATTTTCATGCGATGAGGTCTAGTTCAAGATCGGTGGGAGAGTTTTGAAATCCCTCCTCTCGGGTTGTCTGGTCACCTTTTTTTTGAAGAACTTTATAGGATTGGAAAGTTGAGTTGGTTGGGGCTTGTCTTGGGATGTTCCAAGATTGGGAGGTTGGACCAAGGTTGGAGGATGTGTTGAGGGGTACTAAGAATGGCTTGTTCTCAGTTACAAGGTCAGACCAAGGTTGGAGGATGTGTTGAAGGGTAATAAGAATGGCTTGTTCTCAGTTACTTCTTTCTATCAAAATTTGAATGAAAGTGGGAGTGTTCATGGGTCGGTTTAGATCGGTTTCACTATTAACTCATCACCTAAACCGACAACCAATGATGGAGAATTGGACATCTGATTTTGACTGAGGAACTGTTCAAAGCCGAAGACATCAGGCCATACTGTTTGCCAGTCGAATTCAATCAAGTTCTCAGATGATTCTTGCATCAATGACTGAGCTTATCCTCCTTTCTCACACAAACAAACATATAGATCTAAGTGAGATGAAAAAAGTGAAAAGACCACTAACCATCCAGATTAGAGAGAGAGAGAGAGAGAGAGAGGAAGAAAAAGAATGGGGGATAAAGGGTTTCAGGGAAAGGATGAGGGGATGAGGGTAATCTCAATTTGCGAGAGAGAGAGAGAGAGAGCACATACTTACATATACCTCTATATATGAATAAATATATTTAATAACATGACATTATGTATTGATGGCGATGTGACTATGATCATGTATATGTATGGAAAATATCTAACTAGTCACCCATACTACTATGTACTATAGGTTAGGCATATATTGGTTTCCTTTTTTTGCATTTGAAATTCAAGATGGTTTAAAGGTGACATAAAAGCTTTGACACTTCTTTCTTTGAGCCATGTGCTACTCTCTTTATATGTATGTTATTATATAATTTTTTATGCAAACCGAGTTTTAACGATTGTTATCACGTGTGAAGGCACTTTGTTTTCTACCAAACATCTTTCTCGGTCGGTTAAAAAATATCAATTTTAATAAGTACAAAATCGTCCACCAACTGAAAAATAAATAAATCATCTATATTAGAATTGAGTTGAGCATGAAGCCTTTTTAAAAAGTGACCATAGTCACTCAATTCGGATCGGATTGGTCAGTCTCAATGGGTAATTCGGTTTTTCGAACACCCCTAATTGAAAGACGGAATGATGATTTTCCTTCGAAAGGCATTTGAAAGGTGAAAGCTCCTCTCAAGGTTTCTCTATTGGCTTGGACAGAAACTAATGCCTAATTTGGCAACTCAATATTTTAGCCTAAAAGTCAAAAAGTTACTAAAAACTAAAAAACCAACATATACCAAAAAGTCAAAAATTTCATTTTCTCTCTACTTTTTGCACATCTTTTCGTAAAAAACTAAAAAAATCATTCCAAATATACTAATTTTTTTTACATCATATTTTAACCAAAAAATCAAAAAGTTACTAAAATAGTCTATTTCCAAAAAAGGCCAAGCAATTCTAACCAAATATAATTTGAAAAACCCTTGAATTAACCATGGTGCACTTGCGGAAAACTCGGAAGGGCCTATGCATCCCTAAGGATTAATTAGGCTTGGATCAAGACACTCCGGTGCCAATCAAATATATATACAATTTGAAAAACAAAGAAAATTTCTTGGCGTATTGGTGTTGCACGTGCAAGAGGGGGGAAGAGTGTAAATCATCTCTTGCTTCGTTGTTTAGTAGCTAG